AACTGCAGAAGGAGGATGAGGAGGAGGGAGTGGAGGGGTACCGCGAAGCGCGACTTACGGCCGCCGGTGGCGTGTTGCGCTCGCCCTTTTCTTGTTTGCCAAAGAGATTGCACACGCGACCTTCTGTACAGCGGCCGTCGAAGAAGTGCCACACCCGGTTCGCGCCTGTGAACCAGCCCTTGGGCCCTCCCGAACAGTTGCCGGACTGCGGCCTGTGCTTCCACCGCGGTGCCACGTGGAGAGGTGAAGGAGGGGGTGGATACGGAAGAAAAGCTGCTGGATTCGCTGCATGAACGTGTAGGTTGCGATTAGACGTGCCGACATTACTATGACAGGAAGGTATGCGAAATAGTGCGGTACTCGTAATCTTGCGGAAATTTAATTTCATACTTTTCAATTATGAGTCTTCCACATTCTTTTTTAAGTTAACATTTACTCCGATCTGTATTATGAAACTATCCTACCTATTTCGTGGCTTATTACATAATAAACAAACTCTAAGATGAGTCACGAAAAAATGAACCCCAGTTAATCCAATGGAATGCAACGTATTTAACATATGGAACATAGAAAAACAACAATATTTTAGAACACAGTTCTCTTTAAATACCCTTTGCTCTCATTCTCCTCCCTAAATTACTCGTTTAAAACAGAAAAAAACTTCCCAATTGTATCTCTTTTTTCGCTTCCTCCTTTCGAAAAAGCTGAGAAATACTGTTATCACGCCTCAATAGATTCAAATAATTTGGTCGAGCTTTCTGCCCCAAGAACTTTAACCGTTGATGCTCATGTGAAGCCGTATTGCTCAGGTCTGAACAACAGGGCCTTCCCTGTAGATGACTCCGCGCGTCCATCGCCCGCAAATAGTCTTTAGCTCACGCGTCCCCGATTGATAGGAGGTCGCTGTTCTGAACACACAAATTTCACTGCTCACCAACATGATTCTTATTAGCAACTCAATATATATATTGAATATTACTTTCTTATTTTTGTAAATTATTACTTATTACACAACACTTATATACGAATACAAACAAATTTACATAGCCACTATAAAAGCAACTCAACCATTCGCACTTAATATCTTTGATTTTCTGACATATCTCATATATGATCGAATCGCGAATAAAATTACCATATCAAATGTTCTACGCTATAGGGTCAGATTAATTAGATTTCAGTTTATGAGTTCTTCGAAGCATTTATTCAAAGGAAGTTTTTTTCAGCATCAGCTGGCATTCATTGGTTGGAAGGCCTAAATGGACGTGTGCACACAGTTAGAGTTTAGTGTATTATTGCGGTTCGCTCCTCGAATTAGAGTTCGTCTCTTATGATCGCCTAGGTCCTACGGCGAACATTTCTCTCACAGTAGCAGGATTACAAAAACCCTGCGGGAACAACGGTTTACGTCGTGAAAAGTGTGGAATTTTTATATTTTTTCGAGTAACTTGCACACCGGCTGACAAACGGAAGCCTTTTAGTTTAAGTACTATAGAAATAGTGCATACCCATCTATAAGAGAAAACGACCAGAATTTTACCTTCTCGACCATTTGATAATTTAACGTTTCTAGAATCATTGCAAAGTTACTTGGAAATAATCCCAGTTTGAGGCAGCTCCTCTGTTGACACTTCACACTAAATCTTATCATAAGTAGTTGCGAAAAATTATTAATTGACTTTCTTTTGTGGTAACGAATGTAACAGGAGCATAGAAAGAGTTTAGATATATATTATATATTTATTTTATTTAATATTTTTATATAATATAAATATATATATATATATATATTGTCACCCAAATAAATTATACAGCTGAGCAAAAGGAAAATAATTCCGACACACCTTCCCCTCTCAA